ATAAGTGTGCCTTTTAATTGAAAAGAATGAACCTCGAGTTCTTTCATTTTCATTTTTTGGTCTTCAATAAGGGATTTTAAAGGCGATATGACAACTGTGATTCCGTTCGATAAAACAGCCGGAAGCTGATAACATAAGCTCTTGCCGGCACCTAAAACAGCTTTCAAGCAGAGATGCTTTGGAAGCCTAGAATTAAAAAAGTAAAAGTAGGTAATTTTAATGGCAAAAAAAAAAAATTAGTGGAAAATTTGAATGAAGAGAAAGAAAACCCGTAGGCATTAGTATGAAACAATCGTGGCCAAGCAGAGCTGCAACAATAGCCTGTTTCTGTCGATGTCGGAAATTATTGAAGCCAAATTTAGATTTCAGGATACGATACAACTCGTCGCGCCTCTTTTGTCCCAGCAGCTTTGCTGAAAAATGAATATGTTTGGTAAGTTTGTAAAACCTTTTAGACATATTTTAGGAGGGGCAGTAGCCTTAGATTCGGGAAAGCCTACCTTCGTCTTCGAACTGCTCTCCATCGTCTTGCAAAAATGCGCGAAACTGCCCATGCATATCTTAAAACAGTTAATGCTCTGCCTCTATATTATTCGAATAAAGACGTATGAGTAGCGAAAGAAAAGCAAAAATTATAATTTCAAAAAAAACAACTATTTTATTTCTTAATTTACCACATTGCATGTTACTAATACTTCTGCTGTAACCGCCAAACTGACGAGGTCCAATTACAGCATCAAATGGGAATGTATGTGACTTAATGGACTGAAATATTTCAACATTCCAATGGACCGAAACAAACATTCGGACTTCATTTTTATATTTGTTTTTATTTTTATCCTTTTACGATCTTTTTCACATCCATAAAATATTTAAATTTAAATTACGACACTCCAAGGATGAAAAGGGCCACTTAAGCAAACTCAGAAGCTTACAAAAAAAGACTCAACATATCTACAGCACATCTGTAGCTTTGTCCCAATGACATCGAACCGCCAAGACGACTATGCTAAATGAATTACACTTTTTTACATTTTAGTAGGAATTACCATGTCTTCGCTTCTCGCAGCCGTATGACAAAAGTCGCACATCTTCGGCTCTGTTCTTATTATCTGCTACATGGGAAGTCGAAGGCCATTCCTCTTGCTACAAATTTATAGCAATTATTCGGGACAGAAACAACAAATTACTCAAAATTGAACTGTACGAATATTCTCTTACCAATTCGCCGTTATCCATGCCATTATCGTAGATGTCATTGTCGTAGAGCGGCACAACATTTGGCTTTTTACGCGAAGCAGAAGGTGGAAAATCCGGAGAAAGGCTGAAATTTCATACAAATAAAAAGTTAGCAAAAAAAAAGAAAATTTGATTATGACAGCAAAAAAAAATGGCTAAAAAAGCGCCTTCTTTTTCGCATTTAGGCTAATGCAAAAAGATACGTTGACACAATTCTGTCCGTGTTCCTGTCACATATTTTCAATTCCATTAACAGAGAGGTTAAAATATGAGATTTTGGGAGTTTATTCTCATTGTATTAGTTCAAAGCCATAATACCACTCTTTTAACGTCGTTGCATCTCAAGCCATGAACCCAATTAAGGGAGAAGCATATGTGTGCTTAAAACGCATGCGCAAATTTGCTCTCTGTATATACAACTACATCAGTCCTCTCGCTGCTACAATACACTGCTATGCAACATCCGCTGGTTACTCTCCGACGGTAGCAAAAACAATTTCCACAAAATAAAATATATAAAATTGAATTAAAGGGATAAATTAATATACAAATTAATATATAAATTTATTTTCAACTCCCAATCATACATAAATCAGTCCAAATTAAAGACTGACAAAGCCTTCACTTTAACGATTTCAAATAATTTGCAAGTTTGGAGTTGATTCGGTTTGTGTTTACAGCTAAGGGATGAAACGCAGACTGCATCCTAACATGTCTTCCTGCACATGATGCTTAGGCTGATTCCTTACTTATTCAGACTGATCTCTTTCCTCTTTTTCTATTATTCTTTAAAACTCAACTCATGTTTTTCATGCCATTTGCGCCGCGACGTAACTGCTAATATCCCTCGCCTAATGGATAGCATAATCAAAATAAATGAATACGTTATCACTTCGATCGAGCTCTCGTCTTGATGGCCGATATTTTTGCCACAATCCAATAACTTGCCATCGTCAACTATCTAAATAATTTGTAAGGTCGATTAAAAGATTTAACAAAAGAAGACGGCGTTCCAAAATTTCAAAAATCAACGAATTTTTTTCTTCAAATAAATTAACAATTATTATTCTTAGGAAAAATTTTTAATTACAGGAGTGATTTTTCGGCGAATTTACCGAAAGCTGGACCAGTGTTTTTTTTATGCCTTGTTTCTGTAGGCATTGAATTCTTGCTTTTCTATTACTAATCTTTGTCCTACGTATCCGATTACTAACAACACTGATTTTTCAAAAATTTGTAACCTCATCGGGTTGTTCATCGGTATCGAAAAGATCGTTGGGAGAATCGGGAAAATCGATTTCCTGCTCATCGCTTGAAACAATCTTGCAGCTTTCTCGAGGACGATACGGAACGGATGCCGCGGCTTCCTGGCGCACACATCTTGACGGTTGCTGCAGAACATCTCGTAACTATTAACTAATTAAGGGGAAAATTTCCAGTCCCCCAGTTTGGCGGTGACTGTCGCAAATATAAGTTAGTGAGTGAAGGAAAAGCTTTTGTGCAGACGATGAGTTATGCTGAGGTTACACCCAAATTTGGCATGCCGGGCTTTTGCAGATTCACGTCTCATAAGCTATGCTCAATGTTTTCAAGGTATAACAGCAGTCCACACCCTACGCGTCGTCCCGAATCTAGCTATGATCCCCCGAAGCATTTGTACCATCGTACCGGAGCCCACAGTCCTTTTTCACTTATTCAACCACTCAAATCGTCGTACTGATTAAAACAGTGTTATCTAACTAGAAAATCCGGGCAGCTATCGGCATGCTCACGTCGCCAACGGTGCTGAAACCCAAGGGCCGTGTAATTAAAAATCCAATATAGAAGAATCAACCAACCAGGTAATGCTGGCTTTCTTCGCCCAGACAGAAAAGCCCATTATATATCACATTCCCATCTTTACATTTGAGGTCCTTAAGTTCAACTAGCAACACTCCCCCCATGATCCTACACTTCGGTTATTACCCGTGGGAAGAGGGACAACATGAGTAATCAGGTGTTCTAAAGGTCCCAGTCTGGAATTCCCCAAACTGCGCCAAAAAGTGACTGTGCTGCTCTAGATCCAGTGATAGATATGGTAAAATACACAGAAATCGATGAACTACTTTTCCCGGATCTGAAATGCTGTTATAACTTGAAAACACTGGGCATAACTCATGAAACATGAATCTGCTAAGGTCCAGCATGCCAAATCCGGGCGTAACCTCAACATAACTCGTCTTTTCCACACGAAAAATGGGCGTGCGGTAAAAATGAGCGGAACTAACCCTGCAAATTTTCGATGTGGACGGAGCTGAGTCCTCCAGATCCGCGGCAATGTCGGCCAATCGCAGCAGCTCGTCATCGTCAAATTCATCCGCGGGAGGTGCTGCAGGCGGTGTTTCCACTCGGATCCTCGCCTCCACTTTTATCCGATCATTTGCTGTTGTTGTGGTCTGCGCAGTGGATGCCTTCGCTATTGCTTTGAGCTGCGGTTCCAGGATGCTGTTGCATTTCTTGAATTCTCGAATGTTTACAGAGTCGTAATTTTGCGGAAGAACTTTGAACTTTTGTTAAATTAGTCAGTCAGAATCAAATTTTGCCCATATTTAACCATATTTGTTCATCAGACTGCTAGTTTTGTTTTTTTTTTTTTTAGAATTCCGAGCTATTATCAAATTAGTCGCTCAAATTTTGCCCATGTTACACCATATTTGCTCATCAGACTGCCTGTTTTGTTTCTTTTGTTTTTTTTTTTTTTTAGAATTTCGAACTATTGTTAAATAAGTCACTCAAATCCAAATTTTTTTCTTTCGATTTTATAACACATCTATTGATCAGAATGTTAGTTTTGTTTTTTTTTTGGCTCAAATGAAAAAAATACTAAAAACCCAATTAGATATTCTATGATCGGCATGAAGTTCGTTTTTTATTTTTTTGCGGAAATTCTGATTCGCCATTGATACATATATATATATGTATATACATGTATATATACACATATATATATATACATATATATACATATATATGTATCAATTCTTCTGTGCCTCAAAATCTTAAGTTCATATATATATGTATATATGCACAGTTCATATACATATATATAGTTGCATACATATACTGTGCATATACATATATATATAT